CGTTCAATGGTCATCAGCAGGGTGGCATCAGACTATACGCTTGCCTAGCCGTTGGAGGTGATCAACGGCTAGTTTCTATCAGAGAGCACGCGAGATCATCGGATCGGGGCATCGGTGTAGTGAATAGGTGCATTAGACTATATGCTACATCCCCGCTATAAAGTAGCACATAATCCGATGGGGTGGATCCGATGGCCATCGGTGGATCTGATGCCCCCGATTTCTGCCCAATGAAAGCAACCAATGGCTAGTGCTTTGTGGAGGCTTATAAATAGGTGGTGGTCGGCCCTTGGTGAGGTCTCTTGGCATCTAAGCAAACCAACACTCTTGTGAGCATCCAAGAACACTTCCCACTCATCTCTTGACTTGTGCTTCATCCAAACTGAGATTGGGAGAGATCTAGTTCATTTTCTTTTGGAGTTTTGCATCTAGTGGCACTAGTTCATCGATTGGGTCATGGTTTTCTTGTTACTCTTTGTGTTTGCCGCTACCTAGACGACTTGGAGCAGTTGGTGATCATTGAGGAAGAGTTGGTGATTGTTCTTTGCCTCCAACCGGTGTTCTTGTGAGAGGTATTGATCCCACCCTGCGGAGTACAAAGAGATATTCCAGTGGAATGCTCGTGACTAGTCGGAGTGCACCATTTGAGTGATTCTTGTGGCACCTTGGTGGGCCTAGCTTGTCATGCTAGTTAGCTCGCGAATGATCACTTGGGGACTCGCCACGATGAGGACGTAGGCTGTCGGCAAGCAACCGAACCTCAAGGATAAATCTTGTGTCAGCACTTGCCCTCGTTGGTTTGCCTTCTACTCCCTCTGTCCTAAAATAGAAATCATTCTCGCTGCCAAGAAGTCAGCTTTTTTTAACTTTGACCAATTATATATAAAAGAATATTAATATTTATAATACATAATTAGTATCATTAGATAGATCGTTGAATATACTTTCATAATAAATTTATTTGAAGATATAAATGTTGCACGCATTTTCTACAAACATAGTCAAAATTGAGAAAGTTTGACCTGCACGCATCCCATAACGACTTCTACTGTGGGATGGAGGGAGTACACACTAGTTCTTTACTTAGCAATTACTTGCTTTTGTGTGTAGTTGTTTGCCTTGAGCTAGAAGCTTAGTTGTATTTGTAGCTGTAGTAATAGTAGCTAGTTTAGTTGCTCTCTTTTAGTAGCTCTCTAGAGTAGCTCTTGTTAGTATAACTTGTTTGGTGTTGTGACTTAGGCCGTGTTTGGCCGGGCTCCGCTCGGCCTGCTCTTGTGCGAGAGCCGGAGCCGGAGTGCCGAAGCCTCAAATTCGGGCTTCACCTGCCGTACGTCAAAACGGCTTCTGCTCTCTCATTTCATGGCAGAAGGGTTTGGTGCGGCTCTGCTGCCGAAGCCAGAGCCGGAGCTGTGCGGGAGCCGCACCAAGCCACTAGCATTATGTAGGCCCTTGATTTCATACTGTACTAATCAACTTTTGCTCTAGTGTTGAGTCTTTATAGAGAAATTTGTATATGCTATTTATCCCCCTTCTAGCCATCTAGATCATTTCTCCCTGCTATGTTGTGGGTGCTCTAAGAATGATCTCTCTTAAATTCTATTTTTTAGGTCAGGGTAATTGGCCGTCTCCGCGTTTGCAAATCATTTATGCACGGCTCTGAAAGAACTGTATGTTGTATACCTGTTAGATGACAAAAAAAATTGAGTAAACTGTTGCAGATACAAGCATGATCTGAGAAGCAAAAATAATGTTGAAATTATTAAAATATAAGTCACGTAACAATAATACAACTCTCTAAACAATGATTGATGGTATATAAATTTATCTATAAATTGATAACATCATCATGTATCTAAAAATCTGGTTAAGCTGAAGGAGGCGCCGTTGGTGAAGGAGCAGAAGCAGGAGCACCATGTGCCTCACCGGAGCTCTGGAGCTGTGCCAGGGCACGGCGAGGGTTCGCACGGTGTACCTCGCACAACTCTGAAAAAGCTACTCCTGCCATTGCAAACATATATACTTAGTTCAGACATGTTCCCAATTACTATGCAGCAGAACTTATTAAATAGTACTAGTTTCTAATTTGAATAGCCAACTAGATGTGTATCAGTGTCCAAATTAGCTTTTACAACACATCTGAAAGAGCTAACTTTCTTAGCTTTATAGCTAGTTTAATTTGGATATTGCAACGTTTATAGTATATAGTACTACAGAAAAAGTAATAGTTTGTATATTTTGCTCAAAAACATATACTACTGTTTGCATATGCCTAGCCTCACTATTTATATTTGGACAGGGGAATATTATTTCAATGTCCATTCATCTGAGTTTTAGCACGTAGCTCCTTCGTTCCGAAATACCTCAAGTTCAAGGGACCAATAGTGTTTTCCTCTCACAGCATTTTAGCATAAGCATCAGCATAAGCCAAATTTCAGCGAAACGAACAGGGCCAGTTTGTTCTAAGTCAAAGTATACTAGTAAATTTAGATTCCTTATATGTTTCCGGACACATGGAGTATTTTGTAGAGCGTGATGACTATCCTGTGGGCTCTCGTCAGAACAGAGCATGGGAATGTCCCTGCTCCCATGAACAAAAATACATGAAAGCTTCTGGACAAACAGTAACTTCCAAACAATTGTGGAATCCTTTCAATATCCGTATATGTGCCAATCTTACAAAGAAGTAATTGTTATGATACTCATCGCTGTGGACACATCACACACGTTCTGAAATCCGTCGTTTGCATCGGTGCGGAACTTTGCGCAAAGTCCCCCGCGCCGGCCAATCTTCGCTAAACTTGACGCGCATGCCGTGGACGCAGCTAGAGTTGGTCCAAGGCCGGCCGGCACATCCGACACCCACAAGGAGCACAACGTAACTCGGAGAAAGCGAAAGAACCAAGGGTTTGTTTGCTTGCACCAAATGCCAGCTTGAACTGCTACCAAATATATCGGCCAATCTTCGCTAAACTTAACGCGCATGCCGTGGACGCAGCTAGAGTTGGTCCAAGGCCGGCCGGCGCATCCGACACCCACAAGGAGCACAACGTAACTCGGAGAAAGCTAAAGAAAGAACCAAGGGTTTGTTTGCTTGCACCAAATGCCAGCTTGAATTGAAACCAAATATATATGACGCAACGGCTTACATGTTTATTTAAGTGGCATCCGGTGTGAAATTAGTAAAGTTGCCTGGCCGATCGATTCGTGAGGCAAGGCCCCACCGATCATCTACCCTCACGGCCCCACCTGACCTATAAATACCAAGCTCAGGCCACCTGAAAAGGCAAGCGCGTCCGCGTCTGCTTCGACATAGCCGGCAACGTGAAAGGGGTCCCCGAGATCGGCTAGGGCCTATACTTCTAATTTCTTATTACTATATATATATATATATATATATATATATATATATATATATATATATATATATATATATATATATATATATACACTTTGATTCCAATCATAAATACATAAGACCGACTGCCTTGCTCGAATCAAACAAACCGACGGCGATTTCAGTTGTATGTGACGAGCGGATTGTAACGGTTTCTTAGTTTTTATGTCATTTCTGTCGCAAAGGAAAGGATGGCTATGTATGTACATGCCTCGATCATGCAGAGGTTAAAATATAAAACTACTTTGAAGATGTATGTACTAAATAAAATAATACTTTTTATATTATTTACTGTTATATATAGTCATCTTTTTTTTGACTTTGAAGATGCAGCTCCATCTACAACCTTTACAATATAATACTATAAGATAACAGAGTCCAAGTAATAAGGAAAAAAAACCAACATGTTTCTTTTTTCAGTACACTTTTTACCAAACATAACCGATGTGTAGCATCCTCCATTTGAATTCTAAAATAATGCTTTTTATATGTGAAAAAAACTACATCTTTTATAAAAAAAAACTGAACCTGATGAGGTTGAAATAATATAAAACTACATCTAAAATAATGCTTTTATATTGTTATTTACTGTTATATATAGTCATCTTTTGACTTTGAAAATATCACTATGTAAAAAAAGCACATCACAGATGCGGATTAACGCACATCATAAATGGGGTTTTACGCACATCATCACAACTCTATTTGTATATGTATTTAATATTCATTCATCTAAGTTTTAGGTCCCGTTTGGCACGGCTCCACATATTCATTCATCTAAGTTTTAGGTCCCGTTTGGCACGGCTCCACTTCACTAGTGAAGCTGTTTTTTTTTTTTTTTTGCTTTAGCTCCATGAACAGCTCCACCGGTGGAGCTGGGGCCGTTTTGATAAATCATTTGGCAAAACAGCTCCACATATAAAGTTTCTTAAAATATGCTCTCACAGCACGTCATGCAAGATGAGGTGAAGCTGGTGAAGCCACACCTTAAGTTTCTTAAAATATGCTGTCAACGCGACACCTTAAGGTGTTGCGTATTAACGTGATTGATGCTGTACATGACAAACTTGAAAAAAAAAAACACGCGATTGGAACACGCCTAATTAATCCCCTGACTCCTCACTGCAGCCTGCCTTTTTTTTATATGTTCGCGCCGATGCAAACTGACGTATCTCAGAACATGTGTCCACACACAGCGATGGTAATAATAGCATAACAAGTCTTCTAAGACATTGCGAAGCCGGCCATGGTCGCTAGCTAGAACTTGACACGCATGCCGTGGACACAGAGTTGGTCGTGGTCCAAGGCCGGCGCATTCGACACCCACGATGCAAGGAGCTACTAGCAGAAGAAGGTCATGGTCATTACCCGGAGAAAGCTAGCGAGAGAGCGACACCAAATGCGCAAATGCCGGCTTGAAATGAAACCAAATAAATGACGCAAATCAAACCAAATAGATCGGTTCGTGCAAGGCCCCATCGACCATCTACCTGACCTATAAATACCACCAAGCTCCGGCCACCTGAAAAAGGCAAACCATCTCTCTCTCTCTCTCTCTCTCTTGGTTGTTGGACCGCCGCGCTAGCTAGTCGAATCGGCGGCGGCCATGAGCGATAACAGCAAGAAGTCGTGGCCGGAGGTGGAGGGCCTGCCGTCCGAGGCGGCCAAGCACAAGATTCTGGCCGACCGCCCGGACGTGCAGGTGGTGGTTCTGCCCGACGGCTCCGTCGTGACCACTGATTTCAACGACAAGCGCGTCCGAGTCTTCGTCGACAAGGCCGACAACGTCGCCAAGGTCCCCAAGATCGGCTAGAGGGCCAATAATTTTAATTTCTTCCTTTGTTTCCATTAATATATGAATACATAAAAATCCTCGTCCCAGACTGCCTTGCTCGAATCAAACAAACCGACGTCGATTTCAGAGGAGCTAGCGGGATTGTAATGTTTTCCTAGTTTTTGTGTTACTTCTGTCGTAATGGATGGCTATATGTACATGTCTCGATCATGCAGGGGTTGAAATAATACTATAAAACTACATTTAAAATGATGCTTTTTTATATTGTTTATTACTGTTATATATATATAGTCATCTTTTGATTGAAGATGCAGCTCTACAACCGTGACAATACTAATAAGATAACAGAGTCCAAGTAATAATACGGATAAAATAATTTTTTTTGTTCAGTACACTTTCTCCCAAACTGAACCCGATGAGCAGCATAAAATCCTACTGAATGAGTATACTCGGTGTATGTTGTAAGATCGGTCCAATAAAAATTATACGAACACACTATTGGTTAGATCACCTCTCGTGGAGTAACATGTTCACCTAAGTAAATAAGTCCTAGACTTGTGCTCATACTTTTTTTTTATCCTTCAGCTAAAGTTTAGCCCGGGTCAAATCGGATATTTGAATGTCAATTAGGGGACTAAACATGATCTAATTATAAAACTAATTACATAAGCCGTGACTAATTCGCGAGACGAATCTATGAAACTTAATTAATTCATGATTAGCATATGTGACTAACTAGGCTTAATAGATTCGTCTCCCGAATTAGTCTTCATTTATGTAATTAATTTTGTAATTGTCTATATTTAATACTCCAAATTAGTATCAAACATCCGATGTGAAAGGGTTTAAATTTTAGCCTTGAAACCAAACACCCCCATTCTACTACCAAATATGACACCACTTGTTGAGTTGTAAGAGAGTGTGGCAGTCGATAGCAATTTGCCTGAAGTGATTTTGCCACTCTCAATCGTTCTATTCAATTTCTCAGATGGGGCTTATATAGGGTTAAGTGTGCGCATGTGTTTAACCCTTTATACTCGGATCATGTTTTCAAGAAAAATAAAAAAAACATTGTATTAAAAAATAACCATATTTATTATTATTACATTACAAACTAAAAATTGAAGCTTTTATCTTTGAACATTAGGATATTTTCACCTTTACAAATATCTTTATAAAATTTCATGAACAGAACTGACTTGTTTGATGAGAAATGAAAAGGAAAAATACTACGAAATTTTATAAAACTGAAAAGCCTTTTTTTTTACTTAAATTTCATAGCCAGTCAGCCAGATTTACATAAAGTTTTTTAGTTTGCAAAAAATTAGTCTCACAGGATACGCGGCTCTACCTAATAAGTTTCATCCAAAAGCAAACACATACAAGAAACAAAATTAAGTGATTTGTGCTGTGACGATGATTGAGTGTGGTTACCCTCTCCGGCGGCGAGGTTGGAGTAGAGGTCGACGATGTTGGGGCATCCCCGGAGGCAGGCCGGGGAGCAAACCGCGCCGGCGACGCGCGGGTCGAGGAGGGAATCCGAGGAGATGCCGACGGTAGCGCGGTCGACGCCGCACGCGCGCACGCAGCCGTCGGTCTCCATCAGCCCCGACAGCCGGCCGTCCTCGACCACCACCTCCGACGTCCGGCACTGGTACTCCGTCGGCCGCCCCGCGCAGTGCGTGTTCTCCAGCACGCACCGCCGCGACGTGGACGACACGGCGAACGCGCACAGCTCCGCCGTCAGCTGCTCGCACACCACCCTCGCCCCTGTCAGGAAATCGTGCAAACAGCCATCGTCAGAAAACACAGGCCGTGCTTTGTATATGCTATACGATACGATATACCACCATGATCGCCACCGTACCAAGTGCAGAGGAGAGAAGAAGGGACAGGGAGAAGACGAAAGCTGGAAGCTGTGCGTGGAGGACGGAAGCCATGGATAGATGCTGAATTGCTGATGCTGCTGGACTTAAGCTTAAGACCGATGTCTTACTTGTGCTGGAGTTAACGATGGAAAGCTTAGACGCTTAGACAAGTTTTATAAGCAGACTAGAAAGGGTTTAAAACTGTGCCGTGTTTAAGACTGCCTAACATGCCCGGTTGGAGTCAAACTGGTAGTCGACTGTCGTTTACTTACTTTCTTCATTCTTTGATTTTTCCTTTTTTTTTTGTATTTGTAATAACGATATTTCCGGTTGAAAGTGCAATGATATATTTAATCTTTTTTTTTTACTTTCTGATGTTTAGAATCAGTTAAGGTCATATATACTCCGCCCATTCCAAATTATTAATCGCACTGTTTTTTAATAGATACGTAGCTTTTACCAAATAAGTAGCTTTTACCAAATATCCAAACATAACGTATATCTGATACATAGTAAAAGTTAATATGTACCTAAGAATGACATATAGTTTGGAATAGAGGGAGTAGTTATTTAAAAATAGAGGAAACCAAGATACCATGTCTATGAACAGATTTAAATAGTGTCATTGATGAAAGCTACTCCCCTGTTCTAAATTATAAGTTGCTTTTTGCTTTTATAGGTCCATAGTTTTTAATATATATCTAGACATAGTGTATATCTAAATATACAATAAAGAACCTAGTAAAACCAAAACTATTTGAATTTTGGAAGGGAGGAAATAGATTAGAAGTGTCACTTAGCTTTGTAGCATCATAATGAGCTGATACAATCAATAGATATATCAAAGTAAAGTTGAACGTTCAGTTCGTTCAATTCATTGAGAGTATGACGTTTTGTCACGCCCAAATGAAATGGCGCCTAATTAAGTCGATCAACGGCGTGTTCCATGATTAGATGTACAGGGCGCAGTTGACGTCAACAACGGCAGACAAACATGCATTCAAGAGTAGGCGCAACGAGTGGCGTAGAGAAGGCCGTGAAGAACGGGGCAGGTTTGGTCACGGCAGGAAATTAGCCCGCAACTTGGCAGCAATGCATTTTGCTTTCATGTCACTGTCTCGCTCACTTCCGTTCCGTCTAGCCTCCCGATGTGAAAATATGACCAACGGTTTTACCCATTTCTTCTCCTTCAAACAAGGAGAATCCCTAATTCAGATTGACCGGTAAACTGGTCCACTCTTGCATGTTTTCCACAAAACACAAAAGTTTGGTGGGAAGTGAGATGTTGTCCACGCGCCTTTTGCTTTCAACCTTTTTAATACATATATTTTAATTTGAATTTAGACGGTAGCGGAGCCAAAAGATTTTAGGAGCTCTGCCACACTGAGTTTAGATATGAATTTGAATATTATTAAATGTGAATACAAAATGGATATCTCGAACTCACGTTTGGATAGTTATCTGATTTTGAAGATAACAAGGAGTTGCTCTTAGTTTTCTTTTTGACACTAGATGTTTGATAGTAGTGTCTTGACTTGTAATCTATTACTTGAAACCTTAACAATCAGTTCTTATTGTATAGCGAGGTGAAGTACATATAGAAGGGCAACTCTTTCTTCTTCTTTTTAAGATGGCAACTCTTTCTGATGAAGTACATTCACAATTTTCTTACTACTTGGTCACTTCTTGAAAAGGGCTGATTGAGTTTGATGGTTGATCCTTGCTAGTATGACATGGAGGTGAAAAAGGCTAATTGAATTGGGTTGTCCTTGTCTCTCAATATAGTGTGATACATTACCTTGCTTGCTATGAAGCAAGCAGACATTCACCCTGCAATCATAATTGAAATAGATATGATGCATAATTCCTGAAGTCTGAAGCTAGGTAAATACAAGAAACACTGGCGTGGCTTTGCCACGCCCTCCTTGGATGGACCTGTCGATGTATACCACAGAGGCCTATAGTTATAGAATAACACTGACAAAGGAGGGTTATCAGATCTTATAAATTTTGATACCAGAGGCTTGCTATGGTGAGCACTTGACCATGCCTGTCCCATTCCATCTCTCTAAATTTTTTTGACACTTTAGGCGTAATAAAGCCAAGCCTCCTTTTTTTTTCATCCTACCAGACTGGTGGAAGGAGTGGAGGTTCACTTGGATGTATCTTCTCTTCCGCAATTGAAAAAGGGCGTACCCAGTGCAGAGAGCTCCCGCTCTGTGCGGGGTCTGGGGAAGGGTGTCAGTGGCAAGCCTTACCCTCGCCTGTGCAATGCGAGAAGACCGCGACTCGAACCCGGGACCTTCCGGTCATAGGCGGTAAGACTCTACCGCTTGCACCAGGCCCGCCCTTCCTTCTCTTCCGCAATTGAGATAGAGAAAAATCCATAATCACTTAGATGGAGATGTAAGGATGGCATGCCAAGATATAATGCCTAAAATATGCTTTGATTGCTAATACCATGCTTTAAATCTTGTGGCCCAAGTCTTCATGAAGGCGTTTTTATATGGCTCTCTATCTGTACAATAATGCTTAGAGTGCTTGCACTTCATTCAAAAATCGCTTGTTTTACACAGGTATAATAGTTGTTAGGCTTCTAAAACATCTAGTCTTAGATATATGGTGGCATATCAAACAAACTGACCTATCTCTTTATATTCAGATTTAATTTCATCTTGCTATTAATTGTCCAGTACTCATATTTGAATTTGTGCAGATTATAATTCAGAGCATATCAGTGACCACAATGATTTTGATGCTAGAAAATTTGTTTCAAATTGAATGTGATGTTGAAGGTCATCGGAAAATAAAAACAAAACAACAACTAAGACAAGTACCAAAGATGAAATATTACATCTACCAAATATGTGATGCATGTATTGTTCAAAACAGCTCATATCATAAGCTCCTTAAGCAATACTAGGATCAATGGAAATAACAAAAAGGTCCCAGTACTAGGTCATACGCTTGGCGCGCCGGTGAGACTTTCTAGGAGCAGACACAATCAGTGTCCTTCATACTCTCTGATTCATCATTATCCTTGTTTGACCTGTCATGACTACGGAAAGATACTCCTAGGAGATTTTAACAGGACATAAGTGTAGTTATAATGCAAAAATAGAGTGTTTTACTCACAACTGCCTACTACCATTTTTATGACACAGAGCACATCTATCAATCAATAATAGAATTGATTTGCCTACTACCATTTTTATGACACAGAGCACATCTATCGATCAATAATGGAATTGATTCTACTGCTTTTACATTCCTATTAATGTCTATACAAATTTAATATTTTTTGCCAACATAAGGTAACTAAAGCACATAAATCATTATAATGCAAAGATACATGCGCATATGCATTTCTCAAGGTAAAGATCCAATAACATTGGTGTTGAAATTTGTAGAGTCCTAGAGAATCTATTTTGCATTTATCAAGTTCTGAACATTATAATTATAATAAATAAAGAAATTTTGGCTAGAGTAACAGTGCAAACATATTTTCCACAGGTAGAGTATTAAGTTATGAATCTAACAAAATTAATTTCACATTATTTAGATCTATAATTATTTTCTTATGGTTTTCACACGTTTCTGCATGGATTAGTACAAATGTTCAAGTTCTTATTAGCTTGTACTACTGTTCATCTTCTAGCCGTAGCAGGAAACGTATAGAGAGAAGGAGCGAGCAAACCTGCCATAGATCCACATCAAAAGCACTCAAAGGGATGCGCAACGAATTGAAGGAGCTAGATATAGGAGGGATTTGGCTCTGGTTTACCATGTGCAACGAATTTGAAGAAGAGCAGAGCTCGCCGTGCGCGTGTTTCCGGCGAAGGTGACAACGGAGTACTGGTGGAGCACTTGGTGGTTTCCTACTCCTCTTGCTTTGACTCTGAGGCAGGCTCGTCGATTGCCTCGCGTCCAGAAGCAGGAGCGGATGTGGCGCACTTTCCGCCGACGCCGCCGCGTGTTGCTCGCGTGGCCCTCTCGGCCCGCACCAGGCCGTGGGGGAGAACGCGCAGAGATCTGGCAGCCGGTGCCGCACGGGCAGTGTCGAGGGGACGCGCGAATCGCGATGTAGAACAAGGGGGGGCGCTGCTTCTCCTCGCGGTAGGGGAGAGGCCCGGGAGATGCGGAGGCTGGAGCGCTTTCGGGTCGCGAAGAAATGGCTCGGCGACGGTACGCGCCGGGGAGCTCGTGGAAGCGTGTGGCGGCGGCAGCGCAGAGCGGGGAGAGGCTCGCGACAGGTGGATGGCCGCGAGGCGGAGGCGACGAGTTTTCGGCTTCGCGAGGTTTCATGAGGTTTCGGGTCCGCATAGAAGTGGGCAGGACCCGAACCGATCTGAATCGAACGGTTGTTATTGTGAGATGCCTCAATCCGACGGTTAGCAGGTTAGCTGGTTACGTGGCAAAATCGGGTGCCCGAGCTTGAACTCGGGATTCGAAAGGTAGAGATAACTTAGGCCTCCATTGGAACGGAAGATTTCCAAAGGAAAAACTCAGGAACCAGCGATCCTTGCGTGAAACGTTCAGAAAATTTTCTTTCACGGGTGACTTTGAACGTATTCCACGGGAATTGAAACATCCACTCTAGCCTCTTTTTTTTACTCTTACTTACGTAGGACCGAGGCAGCACTAGTGATTAGTACACCACAGTAGACCTTGGAACAAGTGCATTTAAAGTAATCGGTTTGGAAAGTGATCTGTCAGGCCATTAATTAAATAAATAAATGTGGGTTATACGGTTTCTAATATTCCTATTCCTATGAATTTCCCGTGAGTATCCAAACATCTATCTTCTACAGTATTCCTATAGTTTTAATCCTCTGTTTTACAATTGAATTCCTATAAAATTCCTATCCTTTTCCCATCCCTAAGCTTTTGCTATCCTACATTCCAATGGGGGCCTTAACCACTAAACACAGTTCATTCTGGCAAAGGATTTGAAGCATCGAAAAGTATAGGGGTCAAGATTAAAGAAAAAAACTAGGAGATGAACTTAACTTATTTTGACTAAATCTAAGTTGTGAAAATACATATGTGATATTTAACAGCCACCAAGTGTA